TTTTTGATTGTAATAAGATTCGTATATCCCCACGAAACTTATCCAATAATCATCGCAATATTATTAAAATACATACTTATTACTTTCAACCGCATTCATAAGCCACATAGATTTACTGCTCTCTGAATAGTATTGGTCATATTAGATATGGTGGTTAGTAGTGTTAATTTAATACTTATGTGGATGTAACTAAATATTATGGGCAATCTCTTCACTTCTAGTTAAATTATTGGTTAATTGTATGTATACTTTGTTTAACCACTGGTTAAAAATCTTTGGTTATCTATCACTTATAGAAGCAATTTTTTTACTTTTTTTACAATCAACTGATGATTAAGAAAAATTCGAATTCCACATTTAAATAAAAGTATTCAATTGCTTTAACTAACCTGTATCATTCGTAAGATTCTGTATTAAAAAACGGTTTCAGTATACATGATATCATTATTATAAAGTATATTTAAAAAGCTTTTCATCTACCAATAAAAATGTTCAGATAAATCAGTAATAATTCAATCACATTTTATATTTTCATTCGACTCACATATACCATATATTGTATTAAAGTTAATGGTGAAATAATTAACAATAGATCACTTTAAATATGCAATAATTCAGTATTCATAAATTATAAATTTACTTTGATTTATCGCACATAAAATTTTGACAAATCCAAAAAAATACAACGATACAACGCATATATCATATCACTCATAGACATGTCATAACTATTAGAACGGCCTTAAAATGCACTATGCAGGCATTTGGCAATCACGCCTTTATCTATAACATTAAAGCTTTTGAATTTTGATCGTTCAACTTCATAGAAGTATATAAACTATAAACTTTCAAATATTTGCTAACATTAGGCAACTTCAAAAAATTTAGGTTAAAATTGCTAGCTCTTCAACTTAGTTTGCCTACATAGTTTATTAAGTTCTACTGAGCACCACTTGAGTAAGCCAAATAAATTATAATATATCGTTTTATATATAAGAATGTAAACTAAAGCAGTTTAATTTTTATTAAAGCATTAAAAAATTAAAAAACACTTAAATCAAATAAACAATTTCATCTTGAAAATATTTCGCTCATATGAGCTCAATTAAAGCTCAATTAGTCGGTACGTACCGTGAAAACTTAAGTTAAAGCGAAATACACAGGCAGGTTTAGTTGTGCATTTCGCTTTGGCTATAGTTCGCTTAAGTTTTTACGATACGTGCGGATTAACTGAGCCTATAAGATAATTGTCCTTAAATTAAAATTTAATTTAATATTAATCACTTCAGTAAACTCACCTGAAATGCATATCGTACTCCATCCCAAATTGTTATTGGCATCTCTCCAGACATTCGTGCCCCTAGTAGGTCCCAGTTTGTATAATTTTGTATATATTCAACCAAACCAGCTGGAGTGATTTCATGTAATCCCGTTAAATGAAAATCAGATGGAAAACCATTGAGGAAGGTGATGTTGTGTCCACTTGAAAAAAATATAATTAAACTTTATATTATTTAATTCCTCAGTATTAATTTGTAGCTTAAGTGTTAATGTGTTATATTTCATCAAGTTTATATATAGAGTATATTAAGAATTATTTGAAGATATGAAATCATTTTATTTACTTCATCATTGTATGAAAAAAATATTACTTTCTGATTCAAAACTCTCAACAGACAGTTAAATCTCTAAGCTCTCAACAAATATACTCCGTTCTATTCATATCAATCGTAATAACATTAATTAAGTTTAAACTTATCACTTTCATCCTCAAAAATAATGAATAGACTTGCTTTTCCCTAAGTAATCCAAACCTCCTTAAATGTTCTAATAAAAATATAGCTTTATGCAACACGTCTTTGAGTACTCGTCTAAAAGATTACCATAGATTTAGAACTACATATTAGTTCTAAAGGTTACAGAATGGTCTCTTCATAAACTGTTCAAATAACATAAGTTAATATACGTACTTTATGTGAATTGAATATATCAATAAATCATAGCAGTTAATTTAAATACCTAGATAATTTGTATAAATCAATCACGTGCGCCTATATTAAATTAATTAAATTAATGACAATAAAAAGACAAAAGTTAAAATGATTTTATAGTATGCCTCGAAAAGTGATATAGACCAGTGTTTCTCAACCCAAGATGTACTGCTTAGCGAAAGAATATATGTTTTATAAGGACCTATAACATATTCAATGTACAGGAACCGGTACCGAAGACCGGTTCATAAATTAATATCATATAAAAGGCTAAACTATAATTGCATATTTTAAGGACCGATGATGTTATTAACAGATCAAAGATTTAAGAAACCTCATCTAGACTAATCTGTACAAAAAAAAACAATTGTACCAACAGTCATTTAAAAGTTGTCTCAATAAAAGATATAGTGAACTCTGGTGTTTTGGATTATTTGACCACAACTGCATACAGACGAAAAGCTACGGAGAGACTACGTGTTTAAAGATGATGATGAGGATGATGATGTACAGTAATTAATGACCAATAAAATATTTACTAAATACATATTGAAGAAAATTTTACTTTTCTTTCAGATAATACAGAAAAGAAAAAGATATAGGAAAGGATTTTATTTTTGCAACATAGTTTGCAATGCACCCTGTATTTTCTAGTACTTAAATTACAAATTAAAAAATGTCAAACTTTCAATATGAAGCGTCAGCTTAATGACACACAATTTTAGGAATTTAAGTAAATCGATCAGCGAAACTAATTGGTTTTTTGTTATTGCAATGAATTGATTGATAAATTGAATGATAGTCGAGTCAATAACATGATGACTATGTGAAGCACCCACAAATACGACGTAAAATTCTTTTCCGAATACAAAAATATTATTATAGGAATTAAATAATAAAGCTTAGTTATTAAAACTTTTTTTTTTGGAAAATTATTGTTAATAATGCTTTGGAATGTCACCTTAAAATATATAATTTTTGAAAATCAATTTTTGGGTTATTACGACAATATCACCTCCAATTTTTATAGTACTGTCATCAACTGGACAAACTGAATTAAGCTATAGAATTCATCAATGGAAAATGTGAACCTACCGATATAAGTAAAGATCTGATGTGAGTTTCATAACTCACTGAAAACTTTAGCCATTACATTTGGATGCAAGTAAAAACCCTAAATTAATATAACGGCACTGAGCCACTGTTTGATACTTTTGTATCTTCAGAATGCGTACTTAAATATTACGCATTAAAATATGTTTATATAAACAATCTGAATCTGGGTCAATGCCCACATTTCATTTGACACCAATGCTGCAAAGGAAAACAAAATTGTTTTCTTTAAAACTGTAACACTTTTGAGATATTTGATTGATGGATATAAACATCATCTTCCGGCTACTGACGCCGAAGCTAAAGACGCTGACGAGGTGCTTTAGCAAATAGAAGCTCCAATTCTATTGGTTGGAGGAAAAGACGCTTCTAGAAAATTCTCAGGAATTTTAGAAGCTGTGTTCTAATTGGATAAAACCCAATTTCGTAATCAAAACAATAACTTCAGTTATTGAAGAATAAAACCTCAACAGTCAGTCTAGTTCAAGCATTCGAGAAGTCACCATTTAAACCTTACCTATTCGGAAAAATATAACTTGTAATATATATCTTTAATATAATAAATAAAAATATTTTTTTTAAAAATTAAAACTCGTGACGAATAAATTTAATTTGCATTACTACACCTACCTTATTCAACTCATATAGTACCTTTCATTCATTACTTATTTCGGCTTCTATAAAACGTTTTAAGTTTAAAAACCTTACTTTAAATGTGAGCGTCAAAAACTATTTGGATCTGTTAATTACAGCGTTCTGAAAATTTATAAGTGTGAAAGCCTTATCTTAACAAGAAATAGAAAAAAAACATACTGATTCAAGTCAGAATGGTTCATTAAATATAGCTGCATTAATTCAATGGATTTACATAATATATGATCCATCTATGTCAGCAATATGAAAATATAAAACAAAATTAAATTAAATAAAACTATGGTATTTAATAGAGTGATTTTGAACAGTTGTGAATAGCAACAACAAAATTTGTATTTGTTTTTAATTAATTGAAATTTTGACTGACCATAACAAAAGGTATGTTTTCGTTCTAAAATAATAGGTACATCAAGTGAATTTGTTAATGGAAAGTTCATTAACAAAACACCAAAAAAATGTGCGAACATACAAGTCAAGTATGGCTTTATCTTAGTTGGCTAATGAGCAGTGACTCTAAGTTTATAATTTGTCAGGGCACGAGTTCAATCCTTGGTACTTGCATAATACATTCGTACTTATAAAATTATGAATGAATAATTCAATATAAGATATAATTTCAAGATTATTGATGATGGATATTTGGCATTATAACAATGATTTTGAAAATGAGCTTTTTTGCGATGTCTATAAGCCGTTGCGTTTCTAAATTTTAAGTTTGCATTTAAACTTGAAATTTTTTCTTTATTAAGATATATAGATACTAACAACAATTTTAGTAACTTGACTATATATTCCAAATATATATATATATATATGTCTCCAAATTTTGAACACGAAGTCCAAGTTGGGTCAAAACTACAAAAACCCACTCGTTTAGTACACTCATTTAGATGCCTTGCCAGAAGGAATACATGAGTGATAAATCAGCTTGCTTGTACAGTGCTCTTAACATACTTCCTTCACAGGCCTCCGAATTTTTCAAATATGTCAGTGTTATCGAGAATACAGAATATGAACTGTTTGAGTAGACTTATGCCAATGCCAAAAGCCTGAAGTAATTTAAACAACTCATTCGAAAGAATAACAAGACGTAATCAGACTATTCGGTCTTAATATAACTGAACGGATATTATTCCATAATTCCTTAATAGCAATTGGTCCTATAAACTACGTTCCTCAAAAATGAGACACCTGCAAATTCTGTAAAATGCGAAATATAACTTTCTTGCTAAGAATCGTATGACAGTAGGACGCTTTATACAAACTATGGTACAATCAACCAATACAGAAATGAATGGGAACGGAACATACCTCCATTCGCTGGAGACTACCATCTGTGGTACACGGGTGGCTCCAAAACGATGGAAGGTGTGGGTGCGGGAGTATACGGAGTAAAACCTAAAGAGGAAATATTTGCGAGTATGAGTAAAGAAAACTCAGTTTTTTAGGCTGAAGTACACGCAAAAAAACTATGTCTCAGGATATATAAAGGAAAACCTGTCACATGAAAAAACATATATAGCTTTTCTGACAGTAAATTGGCACTCCTAGCACTACGCTCACCTCGAGTAACCTCAAACCTAGTGTGGGAATGCCTTTTAATTCTCAAAAAACTAGCTGAAAAGAACAATGTCCACTTAATATGGATTCCAGGGCACAGCGGATTGGAGGGAAACGAAAAAGCAGATAAACTAGAGAGAAAAGGGGCGGCCTCATATTATATTGAGCCACAATCATTCTGCGGTCCTTCGTGGAGCTTTTTCAAACTTAAAACTAATGAGTGACTGGAAAGAGCAGCTCAGACTGATTGGGATAATACAATTACCTGCAGACAAGCAAAAGAATCCATGCCGTTTCGATCAAAAGCCAGAACTAGGGAGCTACTTATGCTGATAAGAAGTAGTATCCGACTTGTCACAGGATTCCTCACTGGGCACTGCGGAGTTAAAAAGCATTTATCGAATCTAGGTATTACTAGAGACGATAGCTGCTGACTTTGTGGCGAAGAAGAGGAAACAGCAGAACACATTTTGTGTCACTGTGATAGTCTTGCCAGACTCAGACTTCGGTACTTATCCATTTATCCATATAGTAGCTTTTTCCTTAAATCCTAATAACTATAATATCTAGTATGAATTAAATCCAAATGTGGTATTGAAAATTTTAATAAGATGTAAATTGTCATAAATATATAAATAGTTTAAATCCAAAAAAACTTAATAATAAATATCTAAAATCAGTAGACCATAAAAATATTCAGAGAATAATATTATGTGTATAAAACGCTGCTTTTCAATTTTATTTTTGATATAACTCTTTTTTGGCACTTTAAATTATCCTTAACACAAATATCAAATAAAGCTCTATGTTTTAGGCTGTATGTTTTCTATCCCCAAAGGATATATTTTAAATTACATATCAGTGTATTTCATTTATATTTTTTTTTCAGACTCAAACTCTTAATTAATGAACTTAATGATCTTTTTGGGGCCATAAAATTCAAAATGTATCACACTTAAGTTGGATGGATTATATCAACTTTCACGCGGAATATTTTATTATTTATTTGTGCACTCACCGGTCTATTAACCCTTTTGCCAGTTCCCAAAAAGGAATTTTATGTGATTTTGTGCCTCCCATGGTAACCATTAAAATGTCAGCCGTCATCGTGCTGCCAATACAAAGGATTAAAACCAAGCCAAAGTAATTAAACGTCATGCTGAAATAAAAAAAAATTAATTAATTTAATTTTTTCTGCTATTGGAAATAATAAATAGTATAAAATTCGTCGAATATTTCATCACACCTTTTAGAGGAAACAAAACAAAAGTTGTAAAAAAACTGCCGCAATTTGGAATAAGTTACTGATACTTATAGATTTTTTATAATTTAAAAAAAAAACGCAAATATATAAATTATTTTATTTGCTAATTTCTATTTCATGTATTTTTATTTTAGTTTTTTTTTTTTTATTTTTGTGTAATTATATGAAAATTTAAAATGACGCGACAGTGTAGATTTGCGGCAGAATTTTAATGATAGGGGCAGTGCCATTTGTATAAGTTCTGCACAACTCATTAAGTGGCAACTCATTTCCGAAAATGGATCTAACGATCACTTACCGCCACTTACTGGGTTGTTCAATTGTTGTGACGCAAGGACTGTTTTCGACAGAAATCAATACTTGGGCAAAGACCGGAGCTCATGTAAAGTCAAAAATGTTGTGCGAGGCTTCAATTAACTTTTGTGGACATGCAACGAATTTTTCCATTTGATATGCAATCTGAAATACTGAATACTAGTTTTGCACTCTGATAATTTTGAGTGCAATTAACTAATTTGAAAAACAGACAAATAATTCCACATACCATATGCCACATACCAGATACCAGATACCAGGTACCAAAAGTGCCTATTCGAAAAGTGGAAAACCGTAAACAACATTTTATTCGTATCTGTTGGAAAAATCAAATTTAGTTTTTGTGAAACGACCATGACCATTTTCGAACTCTTAATGTTTTTTTTTATTCATATGAATTTCCATTTAGTTGGTAATTAAAATTTAATTCTAAGCCTGTATTTGTTTATTATGGTCATTTGGTATTATACGATCGTTAAATCGATAGATATAGCATATCATGTATGTTAGCAGGTTCAAGGGGGCAAAGCGTTCTTAAAATTGTTGCACTTGCAACATTTTTCTTTGATTAAACTTGTTTTTTTTTTTGTAATTAAACTGAAGCAAAATTTGAAGCAAATTTACACCGATTAAGTTTTTCAAATAAAATATAATTTGTGTTGCTTTAAACAATTTATTTATTGCAGAAAAAACTAAAATCATAATTGATATGAGTAGAAATCAGACTTATTACTTAAACAACCTTTGCAACACGACTCTAATAGGAATGTGTCAAATTTAAAAAAAAAAATTGAAGAATATAATGATCCAAGGAAATTATTAATTAGAGTAAATCATATTTTATTTATATCCACCGAGATCCGTAATACCCAGATAAAGCATTTGCACTTTCGGAAGTCAACTGGTATCCAGCGAAATTCATATACCGTTTGCGATAGGTAAATCTTGATTCAATCTACATTAACTCTCGATCTCAACTCTAGATTATTCAATCTAAAGTAATCTGATATTTTTTGTAATTTTATTAGTAGGCATTTATATTTTCCATAAATATATAAATATATATGCCGAATAAAGACACACTTTATTTGTAAAGTCACACAACACAGCTGTCAGTTTCAGGGTAATCTTGCTACTCTAGCAATATATCTATAGTTTTATAAATTAATATCGAGTGTTAACCATTCGCACCAGAATGGTTCCAAATTTATTTTATCTCCTTCAAAATATGCTCCTTCTGAAGCGATATACATATGCCAACCCAATCTTCCATACACTTTTCGTGGGCCCGTGCAGATATGGCTTTTAGTTTCTTCAGCGAATTCTCTTTTACCGATTCAATCGACTCAAAACGCTTCCCACGAAGGGGCAATTTGAGTTTCGGGAACAGGAAAAAGTCGCACGGCGCCAGATCTGGCAAATATAGTGCCTGAGCGATGACAGTGGTGCCGTGTTTGATCAGAAAATCAACCAAAAAGACAAAAATTGCGCCCATAGTAAAAATCGCTAAATGCACTTGAGGTAATCTCACATTAACAGCTGCTGTAAACTAACTAATGGACCGATGGCGCTCAAATTTGTACCATATATCAAGAAAGAGTGTACCAACATAACAAAACAAAAAGGTTTATTACTTAAGGAGTAGTTAACAAATAACAATATCCGGATACTTTTTGAGCAGAAGGTATATATTTAATTAAAGTTTTTAAAAACAAAAATATAGAAAAAAAAATAACATAATATTAATATAAAACAAGGATCTTCTATTACTAAACTTTTACAAATAGATTAATATTGTAAAACTGTGATAATTATAATTTTTTTACATTTTTCCTTATTGGCTATCCAAGTTCCAAGTACTTCAGTAAGTTTGTTAGGTTAGGTAGGTTAGGTTATATCGGCGATCCCAAGGGATCCCCTTAGGCCAATAAGCCCATTGTGTTACCGTATAATCAAAAACTCTGGGGTCACAACCACTTAGGAGGTCTTGCTGTTCGTCAAAATCCTTAAAAAAAGAAACCCCTATAGTGGTAAGGCGACGCCGTGCATGTGATGGTCAGAAACATACCAGATGAGAGTTTCTTAACTGAAAAGAATTTTTAAGAAAATTTTTTCAAATGCTTAAACCGGAAGCTTTGCTAATTTTGAACATATTGTCACAAACTAGGCAATATTTCCAATTTCTGTTGATTTTTATTCTTTTGGCTTCTGGTTCCATCGATTTCAATAATTTAAATAAATTATGGTTTTAAAATTTTATAAATAAATAAATATTGAATGCTAAATTTTTGAATCCAAAGCTCAGGTGTATAATATAACTCAAACTTAATTAATTGCCCTTACAAATAATGTGATAATAATAGTATCGAGAGAGTTTCGCAAAGTATTCTGTATTATAGTGTAAGAAAAGCTACAAAAAGTTACCACCTTAGCAAAGTATAGGAAATGGAATTACCGGAGACAATATTATTGTCCAAAAGGCGATATTTTTTGTACCAACAACAGTTAAACAGACACTGTAGTCGTCTTTTTTTTTTTGATAAGGAATTAGATCAAATATAATGCTCGGTACGTAGGGAGTCATAACACTCCCAATCCTAGAGTGCAGAGTAAGTAGTCTAATTTTACTCTGTTCACCTAGCATTATATTTTAATGTACTTGCTATAGTATAGTAAAAAATAGCTATGATGTATATACCTAGAATACGATGAAAAAACACAACCACCGAAGACTGAGTCAAATCTGTAGTGAACTGAAGAGAATTTTTGTACTCGAAGAAATACAATCAATATAATAAGGAACGGCCATTCGTTACTTAACATAGGAAGTGAGTATCTCAAATAAATGTATGATTGAATATATAACTTTTATGGAGTCTTACTGAAAAGTTGCTTTAGAAGCTTTTTCTTTACAGAATTTAAGCAAAATCTTTTGTTTTAATCCTGTTTTTGTTACCAGAAGGAAAACTTTTATAATATCCTTTTAACATCTAATAGAAAATATTACCTATAATTACATTGGTGAGACATATACTATAAAAAGAGTGACAAAGTATCCAAATTTTACTAAAAATTTCATATTTATATATTTACTAAATTTAATTTACTTTAGTAACTTCTTTAAATAAGAACAGTGTTTGATTTAACAAGAACCAAAAGAAAAGAACAAAATCTACTCGTTAGGACAACTTAGTCCATCAGAATAAAAATATCAATTTCTTCCAAATATTTTTATATATTTCTTATAAATAAATTTTTGTATATTTATATCTATATATTTCTATTTATTTATGTATTTATATTTCATTAATGAAATTATGTATATTCCGATATTACAATAGCTTAGAGAAAACATTGTGTTTTATTTTGTTTATTTTGAATATATTTAAATTTAGGTTTGTTAACTGCTCCTAAATTATTTAAAACAAATTAAAATTATATATGTTTTTGTCACATATTTCGGTATATGAGTATGTTTATATATGGTTTGGTATTTATATTTCATTATATTAACGATCATTCATATTGCCAAACCAAACAAATTTTTAGTAAACCTGATTAAATCTATTTAAATGCGTAAATACTAGATTACTTAATAATTTTAAAATAAAATATTTGCATAAGTCTTTCGGCAGTTTAATTACACATATTTATGTGAATTATACATATATATTAAAATAACATATATACGAGTATAAACTTAAAACAAACATATTTACAAAAATTTGAAAAAAACAGAAAATGTTTACAAAACTAGTTTAAGTATTAATAAAAATAAATTAAAATTTTATATTTTAAATAATATATTACCAATAAGACATTTCCCAACTGCTTGACACGTAACAATTTTACTACATTTCCAGTCAAGTAATTTTAGTAAACTCGCTTTCCAAACTAAGTATTTATGGCATTATTGTGAATTCATTTCTACAAAATCCCTATTCTATATCCATGCTTTAATACAATATAACAATAACTAATACTTAATTTCGCCCTAGCTTACTTTCAGATTTGTGGCCCCTTAATATTTCTCACTCTACAATTTTTTAATACGAGGTTTATGATTTTTCGAACCTCAGAAAGCTGAAAATCTTAAAACCTACTTATTCATACCCATTTAAATATGTCAAATACACTTTCATTTCAATAAGTTTTAAAATTAATGGGTTTTAAAATTGCAAATCTTTTTTTTAGAAACTGCAACTATTCAAAATTTTTTTAAAAATGGTGTTCTTCATTTATTACGCATCCGCTTCATTATATCTAAAAGAAATATCCTGTGGTAGGATTTCTATTTCTTGCATTTTTTGAAACTTATTTTTTAATGGCGATTCAAACGCATTCTATATCTCAGTTCAAATAATTTTTTCCATTCCGTGGACCAAGACATCACCACATGGTACGGTCAAATGACAACCGCTTTATATATTTTAAAGATCTATGTGCTATAGATCTATAAACTATTAATACTAAAGGTGCTTGGATGAAATGAAAGAATGATCAAATCTACCCCAATTAGTTAAAGTACCGCTTTTGCTTCTGATTGTTTTAGACCAAGACGATGTGGAATGTT